TCCATTTCCTCTCCTCTCTGTCCATAACTTATATTTCCTTGTTCCCTCCCCTTCAGATCTACAGTTTAGTTCAGGTGTAACCAACCTGTGGTGAAGTGCAGGAGCTGACAGACCCCATTCACTGCAGAAACACAAGCTGTTTAGATCAGAGCTCAAACCAGTTTGAGTTCCGAGAAAGTGAAACTCAGTCGTTGCCACTGAGAGGTGAGATGGCTCAGAAAGGAGTCCAGCTGGACCAGGACGCCTTCTCTTGTTCCATCTGTCTGGATCTCCTGAAGGATCCGGTGACTACTCCCTGTGGACACAGCTACTGCATGAACTGTATTAAAACCCACTGGGATGAAGAGGAGGAGAAGAAAATCCACAGCTGCCCTCAGTGTAGGCAGACCTTCACACCGAGGCCTGTCCTGCTGAAAACACCATGTTAGCAGTTTTAGTGGAGGAACTGAAGAAGACTGGACTCCAAGCTGCTCCTGCTGATCACTGCTATGCTGGACCTGAAGATGTGGTCTGTGATTTCTGCACTGGGAGAAAACTGAAAGCCCTCAAGTCCTGTCTGGTCTGTCTGGTCTCTTACTGTGAGAAACACCTCCAGCCTCACTTTGAATCTCCTGCCTTTGAGAAACACAAGCTGGTGGAGCCCTCCAAGAAGCTCCAGGAGAACATCTGCTCTCGTCATGATGAGGTGATGAAGATGTTCTGCCGTACTGATCAGCAGCGTATCTGTTATCTCTGCTCTGTGGATGAACATAAAGGCCACGACACAGTCTCAGCTGCAGCAGAAAGGACCGAGAGGCAGAGAGAACTCGAGGTGAGTCGACAAAACATCCAGCAGAGAATCCAGGACAGAGAGAAAGATGTGAAGGTGCTTCAGCAGGAGGCGGAGGCTATCAATCGCTCTGCTGATGAGCAGTGGAGGACAGTGAGAAGATCTTCACCGAGCTGATCCGTCTCATGGAGAAAGACGCTCTGATGTGAAGCAGCAGGTCAGATCCCAGCAGGAAACTGAAGTGAGTCGAGTCAAAGAGCTTCAGGAGAAGCTGGAGCAGGAGATCACTGAGCTGAAGAGGAAAGACGCTGAGCTGAAGCAGCTCTCACACACAGAGGATCACAACCAGTTTCTACACAACTACCCCTCACTGTCAGCACTCTGTGAATCTACAGACTCATCCAGCATCAAGATCCGTCCTCTGCGCTACTTTGAGGATGTGACAGCGGCTGTGTCAGAAGTCAGAGACAAACTACAGGACGCTCTGAGTGAGAAATGGAAAAACATCTCACTGACAAGGAGAAAAGTGGATGTTTTACTGTCACAACCAGAGCCCAAGACCAGAGCTGAGTTCTTAAAATATACACGTGAAATCACACTGGATCCAAACACAGCACACACACATCTGTTATTATCTGAGGGGAACAGAAGAGCAACATATTTGAGTCAACAACAGTCTTATTCTTGTCACCCAGACAGATTTACTGGATGGTTGCAGGTCCTGAGTAGAGAGAGTCTGACTGGACGTTGTTACTGGGAGGTGAAGTGGAGGGGGGGCGAGTTGATGTAGCAGTCGCATACAAGAATATGAGCAGAGCAGGGATTTCGGATGAATGTGAATTTCGACACAATGACAAATCTTGGGCGTTAACATTTGACCAAAACAGCTTTAAATTTTGGTACAACAAGGTCCAAACTCCTGTCTCAGGTCATCTGTCCTCCAGAGTAGGAGTGTACCTGGATCACAGAGCAGGTATTCTGTCCTTCTACAGCGTCTCTGAAACCATGACTCTCCTCCACAGAGTCCAGACAACATTCACTCAGCCTCTCTATGCTGGACTTGGTCTTTATCACCCTCATGGAAGTGCTGCTGAGTTCTGTAAACTGAAATAATCAGAAGTCATCTAAGGAACAGAGGGTTAAATTCTGTTAAGCATTAAACTTGTTTTGTCTTCATGTTTGTTACTGAGAGCTGGTTGTGAGATCACCTGTCAATCAAACATTATGGGCGGTACTTTGACATCTTCTCATTAGTTGTTGTGTAAATGTTTGAGTTTCTTTCAGTGGAGCTCCTTCCTGTGTCTGTTTCACTGCTCATGATGACTGTTGTTTACCTGAACCGACATTTCTCACTGTAATTATCTTCATCAATAAGGAGGTCATTCTTTATTGTCTTTGACATAGCTGAGATTCTGTTCAGTTAAACAGACAATCTGAATGAACTGGAAAATACAGAAAAGAATATGTGGCCATCTTACTCCAGCAACTTTTAGTGTAATGTAATCATACTAAACACAGCAATTTGTGGACACATCTAAAGAAAAACAGAAGTGGACAGAGCAGCACTAAAGGACATTTAAAGTGATTTGATTTAGAATCACGTCACTGGCAAAAATCAGAATAATATAAACAATGAACATTCATATTCACTAACACATATGTGTCACCAACTTAACTGCAGAGCCAAATGATCTGGTGCATTCACATCATGTGGGAACAAGTAACTTACAGGATTCACTTTTTCCTCAAAAATACTTGAAAAACGTTATCAAGTAATATAGTTGTTACATTATTGGAGTTTCATCATCTTTACAGCAGTGACTAAAGTGTATGTATTTCATGTGCTGTATTTGAACTATTGTAATCAATAAAAAGTTTGATTAAAGTGAATTACAGGACAACTCATTTCAAAGTGAGGAGCTGTTTCCAACCCCTCTGATTCTGAGAAGAGTTGACCTCCTAAAAACTGAAGTGACCAGTGTTTTAAATGAGGAATGAGCTTTATTGTAAACAAGTTTAACAGCTGTCACAGCCCGGCTCATGGACTGAACAAAAACAGGAGACACACGGGTAAACTAAATAACAAAGTGATTTATTAATAAGAAAATAAGCAAAACCAATGAGTGGGAAGAGTCTGTAAAGTCAGTAGTGTAGGGAGTGGATGAGTGAAAATGTGCTGCATGGATGTTGAGCTGTAAAAGCAAAGACATGAAACCAAACAAACAACAGAAGCTGTAAAATAAAGGAGGTCCCCCTCAGACTAACTGCTGCTCTGGCTTATATACACATGGGGCACACCGGGCCCAGGTGTGTCCCACTGATTACCCTGCCAATCAGGTCTGCAGCCCTGGAGACCGAGAGCACACCAACAGCAGTATGAACCCTGCAGAGGGCTGTCACACAGCTTTGTGCATATAAACATTAAAGCAAAGGGAGACAACATGTCTGCCTGGGCAGAGACAGAGTTACCCCATTTCACATGCGTTGACTGATGAGCATACCAAAAAGTTAGAATTCTCACTAGAAATTAAAGGTTTTAGAGGTATCAGAGGTGGAATTATGCCTGTTATACAAATCTAAAATCTCCTTCAAAGCAAAAATACACATCTGCGCCGTGTTGGCAAAGATGTTTTACAGTTATTAATTCTTTTGATTTCTTTCCAGAATTCATTAGGACAATAGTCTTGTAGTTTCCTTGCAAGTGAGTCAGACCTCCTTGTGTTATTAGTTCTGTTAATACAACATGGAGCATATTTAAAATTTGCATTTGTCTATTTCTTATAATTAAATAAGGGACCTTGTTCATTTCTGCCTGACTCAGCCCATGCTTTGAAAGGCCTTCTAGCCTCAGCATGAAGCTCTTCAGCATGTTCATCCAGCCTGCCTTGGCTTTGTACATCTGAGTCTTACACAGAGGCCTGCTTGAGGCAAGAAGGCAGGGATGTACACTGGGACTGAAATTCAGCCCGGGACTTTGAGATGGAGAGCGCCGTGTGGCGGCGAGGAGAGGATTTCTTGCAGTTATTTTAATATATGGTGTCGTACTTGTGTACAGTCAGTTTCATTATGATGAAGAACTTCAGGAAACTTTTTTTATGACACCTGCCTCTTAAGGTTGTATAAGCAAAGCACCACTGCACTGAGACCAGGTCAGACAAGCCAGAGTCAGTCAGAATGCTAAAATAGCTAAATCTTATCAAAAACTACAATGCAGTCTCATAAAATAGAGAAGTGTGTATGTGTGTGCATAAAAATCCAATCCCTCAGCTTCAGCTCAGAGTAGGCCTCTCCCTGGCTCAGCTCCCCTTTGCTGGACCCTGACTCTGCTTGTACTGATTGTGCAGCTACATATGAATGAGAAGAACATCAGTAATAAATAGAACTAACAATAATCCATTTTCTAATTCTATCTATGGATAATTGCCGACCCAGCCCCTCACAGGCCCCTGTACCTGTCACTGTTTCTGGTTCCATCGTCCTTCTCCTACAGCTCCTCCTGTTCCTCCTCCTCCTCCCTTCAACTCTTGTTTATAATATATATAAATATATATTTTAGCCTATGTGCCTAAACATAAATGCATGTATAAATAATTTCGTTATAATAATAGCATTACTTATTAGTGCCTGTACTGAGTCCTGCCTCTTCTGCGCTGCGACAGCACCTTACCACCGAGGAAGAGGTTGGTTAATTTGGATCATTTTCTTCTAAATTCTTATTTTTTCGGCAGTACACCCCTCCCCCTTCTTTCTTTTCGACATATTTATCTGCTCTGTTGTGGTTGTCACACCACCCTGGGCTGAGTTCAGCCCCTACAAAACGTATTGAGAGGAAACTTCTTTGATCGGCGCCGTTGAGCCAATCAGATTTCAGCAATAATGAGGATCGGTTCAAGTTGGACGGGCCGCTCATATCCCCCCTCAATATTGAAAGAATTATTTGGCTCATTCTGACAGACAGCGTTTGCTGCAGCTGAGCAGCTGGCCGGCGTGGTCACGGATCATTTAAAGTTAAACATAAGAAACTGAAAAATAAAAAGTCTGTTCGGCCTGAAATGGACCGGCTGTTCGGGACTCTTCCCAAAATTCCTGATGGCCAATCCGCCCCAACAAGAAGGGACTCTACTATATTATCATACAACTGTAATAGTGTTAATCTGTGATCTACAAGGTGGTCTTAATCTGATGGCCTGAGATTGATTGCTTTTGTCTCCACCCACAGAGCTGGCTGATAAAATCCTGGGTTTTCCTCATCACACTAGTTGTCATTGAAGAAACACCCTTCATCACTCTCCTGATTATTTCTTCAGGTTTTTCAGGTAAGTTGTGGATCTTAAACAGAGTTACTGTGGCTGTAATAACTTGCTAACATGCCAAGAGTGTAAAAACAGTGTTAGTGTAACATTTAGAGGAAGTTAGAGTAAAAGTACTAGTACCAAACTGTAAAAATACTCCACTACTTTATATACTGCTGGGTAGTTTATTCTACAGCAAAACAGCCGTGCAACATGTTCTAAGTGTAATGTCCATTGATATCTTATCTAACATGACATAAAATAAAAAGAATGAACAGACTTCATGATTTTAACTTCTGTGCAACTTTTGATTCTGCATGTACAGCCATTACACGTCACACCGAGTTACAGTTCTGCCCGCGTCATCAGGACTGTGCTCTAACTCTTAAAGTGACAGTTCCCTCTGAAACACTTCTACTCATTTTCAAGTTCATTTTCATCAGCTCAGAAAAAACATTTTCCAGCTGACTAGTAACAAAAACTATCAGACAAATGTAGTGGAGTAAAAGTACAGTAGATTTGCCTCTGAGATGTAGTGGAGTAGAAGTAAAGTTGCATAAAATGGAAATATTCAAGTAAAGTACCTTGAATTTGTACTTAAATTGTACAGTATTTGTACAAATGTACTTAGTTACTTTCCATTTCCTCTCCTCTCTGTCCATAACTTATATTTCCTTGTTCCCTCCCCTTCAGATCTACAGTTTAGTTTCAGGTGTAACCAACCTGTGGTGAAGTGCAGGAGCTGACAGACCCCATTCACTGCAGAAACACAAGCTGTTTAGATCAGAGCTCAAACCAGTTTGAGTTCCGAGAAAGTGAAACTCAGTCGTTGCCACTGAGAGGTGAGATGGCTCAGAAAGGAGTCCAGCTGGACCAGGACGCCTTCTCTTGTTCCATCTGTCTGGATCTCCTGAAGGATCCGGTGACTACTCCCTGTGGACACAGCTACTGCATGAACTGTATTAAAACCCACTGGGATGAAGAGGAGGAGAAGAAAATCCACAGCTGCCCTCAGTGTAGGCAGACCTTCACACCGAGGCCTGTCCTGCTGAAAAACACCATGTTAGCAGTTTTAGTGGAGGAACTGAAGAAGACTGGACTCCAAGCTGCTCCTGCTGATCACTGCTATGCTGGACCTGAAGATGTGGTCTGTGATTTCTGCACTGGGAGAAAACTGAAAGCCCTCAAGTCCTGTCTGGTCTGTCTGGTCTCTTACTGTGAGAAACACCTCCAGCCTCACTTTGAATCTCCTGCCTTTGAGAAACACAAGCTGGTGGAGCCCTCCAAGAAGCTCCAGGAGAACATCTGCTCTCGTCATGATGAGGTGATGAAGATGTTCTGCCGTACTGATCAGCAGCGTATCTGTTATCTCTGCTCTGTGGATGAACATAAAGGCCACGACACAGTCTCAGCTGCAGCAGAAAGGACCGAGAGGCAGAGAGAACTCGAGGTGAGTCGACAAAACATCCAGCAGAGAATCCAGGACAGAGAGAAAGATGTGAAGGTGCTTCAGCAGGAGGCGGAGGCTATCAATCGCTCTGCTGATGAGGCAGTGGAGGACAGTGAGAAGATCTTCACCGAGCTGATCCGTCTCATGGAGAAAAGACGCTCTGATGTGAAGCAGCAGGTCAGATCCCAGCAGGAAACTGAAGTGAGTCGAGTCAAAGAGCTTCAGGAGAAGCTGGAGCAGGAGATCACTGAGCTGAAGAGGAAAGACGCTGAGCTGAAGCAGCTCTCACACACAGAGGATCACAACCAGTTTCTACACAACTACCCCTCACTGTCAGCACTCTGTGAATCTACAGACTCATCCAGCATCAAGATCCGTCCTCTGCGCTACTTTGAGGATGTGACAGCGGCTGTGTCAGAAGTCAGAGACAAACTACAGGACGCTCTGAGTGAGAAATGGAAAAACATCTCACTGACAAGGAGAAAAGTGGATGTTTTACTGTCACAACCAGAGCCCAAGACCAGAGCTGAGTTCTTAAAATATACACGTGAAATCACACTGGATCCAAACACAGCACACACATCTGTTATTATCTGAGGGGAACAGAAGAGCAACATATTTGAGTCAACAACAGTCTTATTCTTGTCACCCAGACAGATTTACTGGATGGTTGCAGGTCCTGAGTAGAGAGAGTCTGACTGGACGTTGTTACTGGGAGGTGAAGTGGAGGGGGGGCGAGTTGATGTAGCAGTCGCATACAAGAATATGAGCAGAGCAGGGATTTCGGATGAATGTGAATTTCGACACAATGACAAATCTTGGGCGTTAACATTTGACCAAAACAGCTTTAAATTTTGGTACAACAAGGTCCAAACTCCTGTCTCAGGTCATCTGTCCTCCAGAGTAGGAGTGTACCTGGATCACAGAGCAGGTATTCTGTCCTTCTACAGCGTCTCTGAAACCATGACTCTCCTCCACAGAGTCCAGACAACATTCACTCAGCCTCTCTATGCTGGACTTGGTCTTTATCACCCTCATGGAAGTGCTGCTGAGTTCTGTAAACTGAAATAATCAGAAGTCATCTAAGGAACAGAGGGTTAAATTCTGTTAAGCATTAAACTTGTTTTGTCTTCATGTTTGTTACTGAGAGCTGGTTGTGAGATCACCTGTCAATCAAACATTATGGGCGGTACTTTGACATCTTCTCATTAGTTGTTGTGTAAATGTTTGAGTTTCTTTCAGTGGAGCTCCTTCCTGTGTCTGTTTCACTGCTCATGATGACTGTTGTTTACCTGAACCGACATTTCTCACTGTAATTATCTTCATCAATAAGGAGGTCATTCTTTATTGTCTTTGACATAGCTGAGATTCTGTTCAGTTAAACAGACAATCTGAATGAACTGGAAAATACAGAAAAGAATATGTGGCCATCTTACTCCAGCAACTTTTAGTGTAATGTAATCATACTAAACACAGCAATTTGTGGACACATCTAAAGAAAAACAGAAGTGGACAGAGCAGCACTAAAGGACATTTAAAGTGATTTGATTTAGAATCACGTCACTGGCAAAAATCAGAATAATATAAACAATGAACATTCATATTCACTAACACATATGTGTCACCAACTTAACTGCAGAGCCAAATGATCTGGTGCATTCACATCATGTGGGAACAAGTAACTTACAGGATTCACTTTTTCCTCAAAAATACTTGAAAAACGTTATCAAGTAATATAGTTGTTACATTATTGGAGTTTCATCATCTTTACAGCAGTGACTAAAGTGTATGTATTTCATGTGCTGTATTTGAACTATTGTAATCAATAAAAAGTTTGATTAAAGTGAATTACAGGACAACTCATTTCAAAGTGAGGAGCTGTTTCCAACCCCTCTGATTCTGAGAAGAGTTGACCTCCTAAAAACTGAAGTGACCAGTGTTTTAAATGAGGAATGAGCTTTATTGTAAACAAGTTTAACAGCTGTCACAGCCCGGCTCATGGACTGAACAAAAACAGGAGACACACGGGTAAACTAAATAACAAAGTGATTTATTAATAAGAAAATAAGCAAAACCAATGAGTGGGAAGAGTCTGTAAAGTCAGTAGTGTAGGGAGTGGATGAGTGAAAATGTGCTGCATGGATGTTGAGCTGTAAAAGCAAAGACATGAAACCAAACAAACAACAGAAGCTGTAAAATAAAGGAGGTCCCCCTCAGACTAACTGCTGCTCTGGCTTATATACACATGGGGCACACCGGGCCCAGGTGTGTCCCACTGATTACCCTGCCAATCAGGTCTGCAGCCCTGGAGACCGAGAGCACACCAACAGCAGTATGAACCCTGCAGAGGGGCTGTCACACAGCTTTGTGCATATAAACATTAAAGCAAAGGGAGACAACATGTCTGCCTGGGCAGAGACAGAGTTACCCCATTTCACATGCGTTGACTGATGAGCATACCAAAAAGTTAGAATTCTCACTAGAAATTAAAGGTTTTAGAGGTATCAGAGGTGGAATTATGCCTGTTATACAAATCTAAAATCTCCTTCAAAGCAAAAATACACATCTGCGCCGTGTTGGCAAAGATGTTTTACAGTTATTAATTCTTTTGATTTCTTTCCAGAATTCATTAGGACAATAGTCTTGTAGTTTCCTTGCAAGTGAGTCAGACCTCCTTGTGTTATTAGTTCTGTTAATACAACATGGAGCATATTTAAAATTTGCATTTGTCTATTTCTTATAATTAAATAAGGGACCTTGTTCATTTCTGCCTGACTCAGCCCATGCTTTGAAAGGCCTTCTAGCCTCAGCATGAAGCTCTTCAGCATGTTCATCCAGCCTGCCTTGGCTTTGTACATCTGAGTCTTACACAGAGGCCTGCTTGAGGCAAGAAGGCAGGGATGTACACTGGGACTGAAATTCAGCCCGGGACTTTGAGATGGAGAGCGCCGTGTGGCGGCGAGGAGAGGATTTCTTGCAGTTATTTTAATATATGGTGTCGTACTTGTGTACAGTCAGTTTCATTATGATGAAGAACTTCAGGAAACTTTTTTTATGACACCTGCCTCTTAAGGTTGTATAAGCAAAGCACCACTGCACTGAGACCAGGTCAGACAAGCCAGAGTCAGTCAGAATGCTAAAATAGCTAAATCTTATCAAAAACTACAATGCAGTCTCATAAAATAGAGAAGTGTGTATGTGTGTGCATAAAAATCCAATCCCTCAGCTTCAGCTCAGAGTAGGCCTCTCCCTGGCTCAGCTCCCCTTTGCTGGACCCTGACTCTGCTTGTACTGATTGTGCAGCTACATATGAATGAGAAGAACATCAGTAATAAATAGAACTAACAATAATCCATTTTCTAATTCTATCTATGGATAATTGCCGACCCAGCCCCTCACAGGCCCCTGTACCTGTCACTGTTTCTGGTTCCATCGTCCTTCTCCTACAGCTCCTCCTGTTCCTCCTCCTCCTCCCTTCAACTCTTGTTTATAATATATATAAATATATATTTTAGCCTATGTGCCTAAACATAAATGCATGTATAAATAATTTCGTTATATAATAATAGCATTACTTATTAGTGCCTGTACTGAGTCCTGCCTCTTCTGCGCTGCGACAGCACCTTACCACCGAGGAAGAGGTTGGTTAATTTGGATCATTTTCTTCTAAATTCTTATTTTTTCGGCAGTACACCCCTCCCCCTTCTTTCTTTTCGACATATTTATCTGCTCTGTTGTGGTTGTCACACCACCCTGGGCTGAGTTCAGCCCCTACAAAACGTATTGAGAGGAAACTTCTTTGATCGGCGCCGTTGAGCCAATCAGATTTCAGCAATAATGAGGATCGGTTCAAGTTGGACGGGCCGCTCATATCCCCCCTCAATATTGAAAGAATTATTTGGCTCATTCTGACAGACAGCGTTTGCTGCAGCTGAGCAGCTGGCCGGCGTGGTCACGGATCATTTAAAGTTAAACATAAGAAACTGAAAAATAAAAAGTCTGTTCGGCCTGAAATGGACCGGCTGTTCGGGACTCTTCCCAAAATTCCTGATGGCCAATCCGCCCCAACAAGAAGGGACTCTACTATATTATCATACAACTGTAATAGTGTTAATCTGTGATCTACAAGGTGGTCTTAATCTGATGGCCTGAGATTGATTGCTTTTGTCTCCACCCACAGAGCTGGCTGATAAAATCCTGGGTTTTCCTCATCACACTAGTTGTCATTGAAGAAACACCCTTCATCACTCTCCTGATTATTTCTTCAGGTTTTTCAGGTAAGTTGTGGATCTTAAACAGAGTTACTGTGGCTGTAATAACTTGCTAACATGCCAAGAGTGTAAAAACAGTGTTAGTGTAACATTTAGAGGAAGTTAGAGTAAAAGTACTAGTACCAAACTGTAAAAATACTCCACTACTTTATATACTGCTGGGTAGTTTATTCTACAGCAAAACAGCCGTGCAACATGTTCTAAGTGTAATGTCCATTGATATCTTATCTAACATGACATAAAATAAAAAGAATGAACAGACTTCATGATTTTAACTTCTGTGCAACTTTTGATTCTGCATGTACAGCCATTACACGTCACACCGAGTTACAGTTCTGCCCGCGTCATCAGGACTGTGCTCTAACTCTTAAAGTGACAGTTCCCTCTGAAACACTTCTACTCATTTTCAAGTTCATTTTCATCAGCTCAGAAAAAACATTTTCCAGCTGACTAGTAACAAAAACTATCAGACAAATGTAGTGGAGTAAAAGTACAGTAGATTTGCCTCTGAGATGTAGTGGAGTAGAAGTAAAGTTGCATAAAATGGAAATATTCAAGTAAAGTACCTTGAATTTGTACTTAAATTGTACAGTATTTGTACAAATGTACTTAGTTACTTTCCATTTCCTCTCCTCTCTGTCCATAACTTATATTTCCTTGTTCCCTCCCCTTCAGATCTACAGTTTAGTTTCAGGTGTAACCAACCTGTGGTGAAGTGCAGGAGCTGACAGACCCCATTCACTGCAGAAACACAAGCTGTTTAGATCAGAGCTCAAACCAGTTTGAGTTCCGAGAAAGTGAAACTCAGTCGTTGCCACTGAGAGGTGAGATGGCTCAGAAAGGAGTCCAGCTGGACCAGGACGCCTTCTCTTGTTCCATCTGTCTGGATCTCCTGAAGGATCCGGTGACTACTCCCTGTGGACACAGCTACTGCATGAACTGTATTAAAACCCACTGGGATGAAGAGGAGGAGAAGAAAATCCACAGCTGCCCTCAGTGTAGGCAGACCTTCACACCGAGGCCTGTCCTGCTGAAAAACACCATGTTAGCAGTTTTAGTGGAGGAACTGAAGAAGACTGGACTCCAAGCTGCTCCTGCTGATCACTGCTATGCTGGACCTGAAGATGTGGTCTGTGATTTCTGCACTGGGAGAAAACTGAAAGCCCTCAAGTCCTGTCTGGTCTGTCTGGTCTCTTACTGTGAGAAACACCTCCAGCCTCACTTTGAATCTCCTGCCTTTGAGAAACACAAGCTGGTGGAGCCCTCCAAGAAGCTCCAGGAGAACATCTGCTCTCGTCATGATGAGGTGATGAAGATGTTCTGCCGTACTGATCAGCAGAGTATCTGTTATCTCTGCTCTGTGGAGGAACATAAAGGCCACGACACAGTCTCAGCTGCAGCAGAAAGGACCGAGAGGCAGAGAGAACTCGAGGTGAGTCGACAAAACATCCAGCAGAGAATCCAGGACAGAGAGAAAGATGTGAAGGTGCTTCAGCAGGAGGCGGAGGCTATCAATCGCTCTGCTGATGAAGCAGTGGAGGACAGTGAGAAGATCTTCACCGAGCTGATCCGTCTCATGGAGAAAAGACGCTCTGATGTGAAGCAGCAGGTCAGATCCCAGCAGGAAACTGAAGTGAGTCGAGTCAAAGAGCTTCAGGAGAAGCTGGAGCAGGAGATCACTGAGCTGAAGAGGAAAGACGCTGAGCTGAAGCAGCTCTCACACACAGAGGATCACAACCAGTTTCTACACAACTACCCCTCAGTGTCAGCACTCAGTGAATCTACAGACTCATCCAGCATCAAGATCCGTCCTCTGCGCTACTTTGAGGATGTGACAGCGGCTGTGTCAGAAGTCAGAGACAAACTACAGGACGCTCTGAGTGAGAAATGGAAAAACATCTCACTGACAGTGACTGAAGTGGATGTTTTACTGCCACAACCAGAGCCCAAGACCAGAGCTGAGTTCTTAAAATATTCACGTGAAATCACACTGGATCCAAACACAGCAAACACACAGCTGTTATTATCTGAGGGGAACAGAAGAGCAACACTAATGAGAGAAGAACAGTCTTATTCTCGTCACCCAGACAGATTCATCAAATGGTGGCAGGTCCTGAGTAGAGAGAGTCTGACTGGACGTTGTTACTGGGAGGTGGAGTGGAGAGGGGGAGGAGTTACTGTAGCAGTCACCTACAAAAATATCAGCAGAGCAGGAAGCAGAAATGAATGTGGATTTGGACAGAATGCTAAATCTTGGGCGTTAGATTGTGACAATAATACTTATGAGTTTTGGCACAACAACAACAATAAAGTCCAAAGTCGCATCTCAGGTCCTCAGTCCTCCAGAGTAGGAGTGTACCTGGATCACAGAGCAGGTATTCTGTCCTTCTACAGCGTCTCTGAAACCATGACTCTCCTCCACAGAGTCCAGACAACATTCACTCAGCCTCTCTATGCTGGACTTTGGCTCCGTTACTCTTCTTGTGGAAACACTGCTGAGTTCTGTAAACTGAAATAGTCAGAAGTCATCTAAGGAACAGAGGGTTAAATTCTGTTAAGCATTAAACTTGTTTTGTCTTCATGTTTGTTACTGAGAGCTGGTTGTGAGATCACCTGTCAATCAAACATTATGGGCGGTACTTTGACATCTTCTCATTAGTTGTTGTGTAAATGTTTGAGTTTCTTTCAGTGGAGCTCCTTCCTGTGTCTGTTTCACTGCTCATGATGACTGTTGTTTACCTGAACCGACATTTCTCACTGTAATTATCTTCATCAAAAAGGAGATTGTTCATTATTTTCTTTGATATATCTAATATTTTGATCAGTAAAAGAGACAATATTATTGAACTGAGAAATACAGAAAACAAAGTTACAATGTTAATGAATTAAAAATAATGATTCAGCCATTATGTAAAAGGTGACTGCGACTGGATTTTAGTTTATTTTGAGATATTAAAGCAATATTTCACTAATTAACTACAAGAAAGCAGAGTGATGAGATTGTTCTCAACATGTAAATAAAGTTCAAGAAAAAATGGTTTGAAAAAATAAATTTACTCACAATCATTTCCAAATCCAAATCAATGACAGATGGAGTGAAATACTTTTTACATTTTTAAAAACTTTAAAGGCCAGGACCATTTAAACAAACAAGTTATCATTCACATCACTGGATACTGTCACTATTCGTGTTCAGGTGTCCTTGTGTATTGCTAAAAAAGTAGAGATCGTGCTCTTCTTGCTAACATCATTTATTTTAATGGGGCTAAAATGGACATTAAATCCATATTGTTCATGTTTCATTACTGTCTTTGAAGGGCCTCTTGTCTGCCTTGCACTCCCACCTGAAGCTCACAGTGACCCGTTTGGAAGTCCAACCCTCAACAGATTGAAAAGAGAGTGGTTGGTTGGAGTAGCTAAGAGATAAAGTAACATCTGGACTTAGACATTGCAGTTGTTGTTGTTGTTGTTGTTGTTGTATTGGACTGAAGTTTAATGTACAGTACATGCTTGTGCACAAAAGAACAACTTACAGTGTAATACAATCCCAGAAAAAATAAATACCACCAGTCATTGCCTCAGGAATGAAGCTGGAATGCAGCGAACACTTACACGCTTACTGTTTTATTTATTTATTTTATTTTTAATATATTTTTATTTTTCAACACACACACTTTTTATTAATTTATTTTATTTTAATTTTTAAACACATACACTTAAATTACTTTACGCTTGAATTACTTGTTTAATGAAATGTATGGGGTTGATTGTTCTTATGTAGTTTGTATGATGCTTTGGCAATATTGTTGTTACACATTCATGCCAATAAAGCTAATTTGAATTGAATTGAATTGAAAGGTGGCCCAGAGACACTGCTAGCAAACAATACATTTCATGCAGCTCTCCACAAAACGTGTTGTGAAATATTTAGTTTGACCTTAAATTTATTTCAATTTATTAAGTCAGCTGCAAATTATGTAGGAAGCGCCCCTTGGTCTCAATGACAAACAGCTTTAAATAGACTACTCTTAACATGAAACATGAAACTGAACCCACAGAAAGATTCCTATAACTGAAAGGATGACCTGCTTTTGAAGAATTCTATTCCTCTAAAAGATGAAAAGTCAAAGAAACATGAGCTTTTATGTTAATAATCATTAATCTGCATATACCGTAAGTATAAAAGTATCACACTTTATGTATATGATCTTACTAGTTTGAGCAACAGCAAAGGTGACATTTAATAATACAGCTAACTGCAGTAAGGACAGGTGTGTTGGGTAGCTACAGTGGAAATGAACAGATAATCTGAAACATTGTAATGCTGAACGTTAGTGATATACAAACTTTCATAACCTGTGTGCTCATTTTAATCATTGTATCATTATATTGTATTATGAGTCAGAAAGTAGCACAGCGCCATGGAAATCAAGGTGATTTCAGCTGTAACCTACAGAGCAACAGAGAAGTTTTCTTATAAACTTTTTCTGACTCTGAGTAATTCAAAGACAGAAGAGAAGATGAGCTGTATGGACCCGGATCCTCCTGTCCTAAAGAAATGAGGAGCAAATAGTTTATCTTCTGGAAACAACTTTATCCTCTCCAAAGACATCGAAAGCTGCAGATGAACAGTTAGAATACATACGTAAAATACAACATGAAAAGAAATAGGTGGGATTTATAAGAACAAGAAAATATAGAAACATAAAGAAATAGACAGTGAATCTTAATCTTCAGGCATAGATAAGAAGAAAGGCAGCTAAAAATACTTCAAGTTTGAATAACTGCCTCAAAGAATATATGGATGTATTACTCCAACAACTTATACCCCAACAAAATCATACTGAACAAAGCAAACTGTGGAAACGTGTAAAGAGAAACAGAAGAGCCGCTGCAGGTTCTCCACCTGACCAGTGGTGGAAGAGGAAATCAGATCCTTTACTGAAGAAAAGTACTAATACTCATTACTTAAGTAAAAGTTCAGAAGTGTTATGGATGGGCGGCGATGGTAAAGTGGATAACACACATGAATTTAGTGTGGAAGACCAGGGTTCAGTTCCCACTGTGACACATTCACCAATGTGTCCCTGAGCAAGACATTTAACCCGTAGTTGCTCCAGAGGGGTGCGACTTACAAATAGATATATAGATATTGTAAATCGCTTTGAATAAAAGCGGATAAATGTAATGTGCTATCAGGAAAATGTATCAAAAAGAAAAGCATTTTGCAGAAATGTGAATGAGGTATTGTTCCATTAGATATGATTAGATTGTTTATAATGATCCATCAGCTGCTCGAGGTGGAGCTAATTTGAACTACTTTATATATGTTTAGAGGTCTGGCCCCTTCAAAGGGGCACAAGAGAAATCTGAGGGGTCTTAGTAACAGCTACAAGCACAGTTGGTGTTTGCAGCAGATAAGAGAACATTTGAGGGGATTTGTTTTTAATAGTCTACAATCAAACACATCAGAACAACATATTTCATGTTTTGTTATGAAGTTTACTTTTTACTCTATACTTTCAGTTACATGATAGTAAACCAGCAGGTTTAAAGTAAAAAAGACAAAAGAGGCAGTTAAAGTAAAGTGCCGTCAACCCAGATACTGCTGACTGTGAAACTGTCAACCAAGTGAAAATGTTCCTACAGTATCTCCATTAAAGACTGCACATTATGGGGCCATCTCATTTTTATCATTGTTACCTCATCGGATCTCCCAACAATGAGAAATGTACAACAATTAAATATAGCGTTCATTCATGTAGCTTTGCTTAAAGTTATAATAAGAAACAAACTTTTAAAATATTTACTATACATGGAGGACTACACCATGAGATTATACTTTAGTTATTTTTGCTAAGAAGTGAATCCCACTCAACATTTAGAAGGCCAGCTAAACCTGAAGACCAGGAACCAGTCTTTATCTTCTCCAGGTGACAGAATACTGCACAGCAGCCTCTCCAATGAGGGAACAGAGCAAGTCTGTGCACAAGTAGAAACTAGAGCTGTGTCAGCCTTTCTCAGGTTACGAAAGGTTACGATAGGTCGGTAACTCTGTCCAGGTTTTCAGAGGCTTTCACACAAATATCTGAGTATCTGTGTTTGTTGCTGAGCTTATATCCGAGTTAGTCAGTGAGTACTGATTTCTGACTAACAAGAGAAGCGTCATTGCAACTAAGCAGTCATTCATACAATCTTTTGTAAATAAATGAAAGTAGTAAATGTTTCATGGGTTCCACTTTCCAGCTGAATACACTCATTTCTGTTTATCTTACCATGTTTGTAGCATTGTAGATCCTTGAGAAAGTGTTTTTGTGGAGAGAGAAATTAAACCTACAGTATTTCACAGCGTAATCTTTAATGGTGAGGAAAACATAGGAAACATTCGACTCTCCCGAAGGATCTTTAGGACAACATACAACTAGAGATGATCAGTGGAATTCTAAATAAAAAATGCAGAACAAAAAAATACTTTACATCTATTCCTTGTATGCACGGTGAAGCATGTGTCATTTGTCCTTCAGTAAATTAAAACATATCTGTGTACACAATCAACAGGTTTCCATGGAGGCACTCCAGACTGGTGTGTCCTATGGCAGATGGGTCGCAGAGTGGAAGGTGGGGCTCGAGAGCATCTGATCACGGTGATCCTGAATCCATGGAGGATCCAAGAGGATGGTCTGGCAACATGGATGGAGAGGCAGACGCAGGGTGGAGTAAGAGCTGTGCGTCCTCGATTTCTAAGATGGAGCTGTACGAACTGGAAGACCAGCCGGCTGTGTGTGGATGTGCTTGTAGGGGCACAGGACAAAAGGCAAGAGGATTCATCACCATCAGGCCTTAGGTGGGTCTCTGTTTGGGTTTCAGCAGCTCCACTGTGGCTCCAGTGGCCAGCAGGTGGGACAATTTGGTGGATGTGGCCGTCACGGCTCCCAGGAGCCATCGGCATTTGGACGCCATACGTGTATGAAGCAAGGGAGGCTTCGTCGTGATGCACAGATCCGTGGGTATGGAGGACATCCATCAGGTGGTGCAGGCCCGTGGTGAGCTCAGATACTTCCTGGTTTAGTGTTGTCATCTGGGTAGAGAGCGTACACAGTTTAGTTGCACTATTAAGAGAAAATGTGGTAAATTACAGTACAGCTTGTTCTATTCTGCCCAATTTAAATCCCCGCACAGAGATTAGACAAATGAATCAGCTTCTGTCTTTAAGGTTTAATCTGAGACTCATGTGATATTTTGCTGACAAGTGCTGTTGGACCTCTAGACCACTAGATGCCACTAAAACTGAATAATGAATAAAATTTAAAAAATGTATTTTATTATTATTTTATTTATTTTCAAGTAATGAGATGCACAGAGAATAAATATAAAAAACTTTACACTGTAATGCAATCCAACACAACCGTTTAAAAAAAGTCTGCCTGTGGGAAATTTATTTCTTCTGTTTGCTGATGAGACTGAGCCAATGTACTGTATCATAAACTACAGAGGGTGTAACTGAGGGGGGAGAATTATTAGAAACACTATCCAACGAGGGTTAAAATGAAGGGCAACTGGACTTGGTTGAAGATACTGGAAGACGTTTCGTCCCTTATCCAAAGGACTTCTTCAGTTCTGACTGACTGGCAGGGAAACTCAGCTATTTAACCTCAGTGGGGTCGTTGGCCCGGGTCATCGATACCGCTGGTTCGTTAGTGTTCCTTGTTGCTGTGACGACAGTCGTTACAGTCGTTGAGACTACCTGTGGCCAAGACTGAACGACCTTCGTTGGTATCTTCACCTGAGGCCAATAGTTTACGTTTGTTGAGTTTCCTGGGAAGTGATGAAAGGACAGCATTGTAAGTGGGGGATAAGTGGTGGCGTAGACCCCCTCCCCTGTTCAATGACGGCTTCTCAACCCTGGTGTAGATGCTTCCCTGACACCTCTTTCAAACCATCCATCTTCTCTGTCTAAAATGTGCACCTGGTGGTCCTCAAACGAGTGTCCTCTGTCCTTCAGATGTAAGTAGACTGCAGAGTCTTGACCTGAGGAGTTGGCCCTTCTGTGTTGAGCCATGCGTTTGTGTAGTGGTTGTTTAGTCTCCCCAATATACAGGTCTGTGCATTCCTCACTGCATTGGACCGCATACACTAGATTGCTTTTCTTGTGTTTGGGTGTGCGGTCTTTGGGGTGGACCAGCATCTGTCTTAGTGTGTTCTTGGGTTTAAAAAACACAGGGATGTTATGTTTGTTAAAAATCCTCCTGAGTTTCTCTGATACTCCAGACACGTATGGAATCACAATGTTGTTGCGTTTGACCTTCTTTTCCTCCTCCCCTGTAGTTTTGTTCTTCTTGGATCTTGTGGCTGTTTTCACAAAGGTCCATTTAGGGTATCCACAGGCTGTAAGTGCCCCCTTCAGGTGGTTCTGTTCCTTCTCTCTGGCTTGGGCGCTTGTTGGTATGTTTTCTGCTCTGTGGTGCAGTGTTCTCATGACCCCTAGCTTGTGCTCCAGTGGGTGGGTTTTCTGTAAACACCAATCTGCAGGCTCCTGTCCTCTTCAATGTGTACAGCGCATGGAAGCCATCTACACCAGGGTTGAGAAGCCGTCATTGAACAGGGGAGGGGGTCTACGCCACCACTTACAATGCTGTCCTTTCATCACTTCCCAGGAAACTCAACAAACGTAACCTATTGGCCTCAGGTGAAGATACCAACGATGGTCGTTCAGTCTTGGCCACAGGTAGTCTTAACGACTGTAACGACTGTCGTCACAGCAACAAGGAACACTAACGAACCAGCGGTATCGATGACCCGAGATAACGACCCCACTGAGGTTAAATAGCTGAGTTTCCCTGCCAGTCAGTCAGAACTGAAGAAGTCCTTTGGATAAGGGACGAAACGTCTTCCAGTATCTTCAACCAAGTCCAGTTGCCCTTCATTTTAACCTTCGTTGGATAACTATGACCTGGATGACTGAGAATCTTCATAGACAGATTAGAAACACTGTTTAATATACTGAAATGTAATATAGCACCACCACAAAGTACAGACTCAAACTGCACCATCAAACTGAATCAAACAGTGCTGTCAACACCAAATAGATGTTCTCTTTAAGGTACATTGTTGTCATATTGCATTGCTTTACTTGTGTTTTATGAACTGAATATGATGACAGCTTTCACAATACCTGAGACCTGAAGGCTTTTGCGGAGCCCCGGACTCTCTCTCAGCTGAGGTTGGGGCTTGTGTGGCTGTAGGGGATAAGCTCTGCCCGTGAAGGCCACGGCTGAGGTTTGGTAAACAGCAGCCAAACTCAATCCCCAGGAGGTTCCCCTGGGAGATACGGCCAACTGGGCTGCTGAAGCTGTGTAGCTGGAGAGGGCGACGGGAGCGGGTTGCTGGAGTGAGGTGGACGGAGTTATCAGAGTCCCCTTGTGTTTCCAAAATAGAGGGGCGCCTGGGTTCCTGGAAACAGTAAATACAATGTGCAGCATTAGGGCCTTTTCACACAGGAATTCATTTTCAATGGGGGGCGCAGACATGCTCGTCTCACGCACACGCCCGCTGCCTTGAACTTTTATGTCTTGTACTTGTCTTGAACCTTTATTTAGATGCTACTTGTAACAATACCTTTCCATTGTAAAATGCTCGATGAGCAATGTGAAATATTACCCTTTTTTTTAAAGGCACTGATGATTCCTGTGTCTTTTAGATCTTAATAAGTTACTGCTGATGATATCTGGCTGACACGGCTTTGAAAATCGGACACTGCACTTATCAGACGTGAAGTGTGGAAAAGATCTGACAACGTGTGGCCGAGGTGATACAGTTACTTATTTCGAAACGTTGAGTCTGTAAATACGCTTTCTAATTTTGGAACATCGAAAATCGACACATGGCCACGGCAACGGCGTTTGACAAAACCTCAAAAGCTTTGCAAATTACCACAGCAGGGGTCTTTAAATAAATGCTGAAGGATTTCATATTCAATTCAAACTGGTTACTACACATGTAGGAAAACACTGGATGAAGGTTTGTGTGTTGGTGGGCTCAGGTTGTAGCATACTCAATGAAAGTGTTGCGAGTTAGGAATCAGGGGAAAGAGTTTTCTGTCACAGGTTTACCGTTGTGAGAAATGGAACCCCAAAGTAAGTCAACACCAGTTTTCTGTGTGTGAGAGTATATTTAGCACCTGGTCCTGGCTGCCCTCACACAGGTTGTAGATGAGGATGCCTGAGACGAAAACACTGGCATACTCGGGGTAGAGTCCCAGCACCTCTTTCAGGTGACGCAGATTGATATACTGAAGGTGAGTGTGTGTCAGCACTTTCACATCAGCATTGGTCTTGATCACCTGGTCTGGTCCAGGCAGGTTCCCTTCTCCTAAAATCAAAACAATAACAACATTTCTTTCTCCATGGTGAACCACATAAACACCTTAAACATGAGGTTAAAAAAAAGTCACTTGACCACAAGACAAACCTAATGTTGCCAGCACCGTGGTGTCGTTCAGCACCTCCAGAGACCCGGAGCAGACGTAGTAGTTGGCATGCAGCACGTCGCCCTGACGGATGAGGTACTCCCCGGGGATGCAGAAGGAGGATTTTATATGGAGGGAGAGTGAGCGCTGGCAGCCACGACTGGCCCCCGCAAAGACCGGCAGCTGGAGGATGTCCCTATTCCGATGCATGGCGATGTCGACCCGCAGCTCATCAGGGAAGTTGTGCAGGAGCTGGGGATGTGTGACAGATGTAATGAGCTGTGACATTGATTGATAATTAAGGAATGGACTCCAGTTACCCTTTTTAAATTTCAATAGGATGTCAACTGGCCACGTGCTGTGAAAGATCATTGACAGTTACAGCAGCATATATTGATCATCGACTGTACAACGGCTGTCAGAGCTCAAATGCCATCTAAACATTGCCCTGAAGTTTCTTTAGGGCAGACAGCACAATGTACAAAAGCATGACATGTCAACAACAATGAAAGGGATTCCTACCTCGTTGACATCTATGCCACTGTTGACAGACCATGTGGACTGGAAGTACTCCAGCATGCGATTTTCGAGCTGCTCAGGCAGATGGTGGAGACGGATGAAGTCCTTCAGGTCCTTCATGCTTGTGTCGTAGAGAGAACGGCATGAGTACATACGCTGGATGATGATGGTCACGTTACTGAACTCCAGGGCGTACATCAGCGCTGTGTGAGAGAAGGAAACAAACAGCATAAAAGACAATAAATGTTGCTATAAAGGCTGAATATTTATATTTCTAGATAAAGTTTTATTCTGAATGCTGTTTATTTTAGGCCACTGGTTCCCAAACGTTTTCAGCTCAAGACCCAAAAGAGAAATCTGGTGTCTCCCTGGAACCCAAATTTACAAAAATACTGCTGTATATATCTACGTTTATAGACAACGGATAAAGGACAAACCATGAATTAAAAATGCATATAATTTATTTATAAAATATTATTTCATAATAAAAGTAAAGAAAAACAACAATTTTCCTTTCTGTGTCTCACCCCTTTCTCAACTCCCATCATTCTTCAGCACCAACATGTCTTTTTAAATGATGCCGACCTGAAAGTAAGTGGCTGGTTAAAGTTTTCAGCCAGCTGGTCTATACTCTGGGATCGCTTTTTCAAAGTGTTGTTCTGAGGTCATACCGAGCATTTAGTTTGTTCCTGTATTTGTTTGTCAAGGGATGCTAAAGTCAAAATGCCAGATTCACATCATTATGCGGTGCCTAATTGAACCAACACATCTTGAAGGGCAGTGAAAAATGTCTGAACGTTCCCCAATACTGCAAATGTTTCGTCTGGAACATTTGCCTGTGCAATTTATTCGTTTTAAAACTTTCATTACTGAGCACTTCCCCACATTTTACACACTGAGGCATCTCCTCTCCCTTCTGAATGGCTTTGGTAAAGCCAACTTTAATAAATCGACAGTGGCAGATTACAGACTACGCACATAGAAATTCTGTATGAATGTGGACAGCAGATCAGGTTAGGGAGAGGTGAGAGAGAAACCTCACTCAGCGTCTCAGCTGAACAGACCAGAGCAGCAAAGAAGAACGCTTATTCACATACCTGTATTTACATGTTGCAACATTATAAACCCAAAGTTTGGGAAACATGTTTTTAGGTTATTACAGTTTGAACTGGCAAGAAGAGAAAAATGACTTTTCTTTACTTTCAAACTCTTTCTGCTTTAAAATAAAATATAGTTTTATATTGATCACTACCCAATTATCTAGACTTGTTACTGTTTATTTACTTAATGATCCACACAGGGGCCACAGTAATTTACAGCTTTGTTCTGACATGAATAAAAATGAATAATTAATTATCCTCTGTGTTATTGCACTAATAATTGCCTCCTCAGCTAAAATACTTTAGTTTATTGGTATGTAAAGCCGGCAACAAACTGAATCTTAAAGGCCATCCAACCCACTTCCTGCTGAATTTCTTGCTCTGGCGTGCTGAACAGAGGCCCATACCGCCAACAAACATGGTGCAGATGCAGAAGATCTTCTCAGCAGGGGTGTTGGCACTGATATTGCCAAAGCCCACACTGGTCAGGCTGCTGAGGGTAAAATAAAGGGCAGCGACGTAGGAGCTGTACATCGACGGGCCCCCCGCCGTGCTGTTGAAGAAGGGCATATCCCGCTGTTTGCTCAGTTCAATTAGCCACCCTTGAAGGAGGAGGTAAAGGATGAGACAATAACGGTTCATGTTACTTATGTGTCTGTGTGGTAGATACCTGACCTAAAGACAACAGTCTATGTTTGGGTCTGTTTGTTTGTATGTGTCAGAAAGAGATTTTCAGCTGTGTCAGGAGTGTTACTTATTATTAAGTTATGATCTAACCTCCCTATAGACACATATAAAATACTGACACAAAAGTATACAATCACACACACACACACACATTACATAGGCGACTGGACCAGAACTGGGCTGCACCAGCTGTGTGTAAGTTCTCTCCTAAGTTAGGACATGAAGTTGACACTAGATGCTTAGTAACTGCTAATTAGTTTGTAACTTGTAGCAGAAAAATGGCTGTTTACCATTAGTGAGTTTAGTTCTGTGACATTTTATGATTTACTCCTACGTTGGGGCCTGTGTAACTATTTAGTTGTTACTTAGAATTATGTTGTAACTTATCTCTGTGGTGCAACCACTTTTATTCTAGTAATGCATAAATCACAACTTCATAGTAATTTATGTTCTAACTAGGTTAAGTTTGAACTTACATACAGCTGCTGCGACAGGCTGCAGATGTTTCATTTTGGGTTTTTATTGTACTCCATGTTTTAACACACAAACAAGACCTTTTGTGTTGTTTTCTTGCAACCAGAGAGAAATGGCCTGAAGTGCAGGTGCAGCTGCCGTTGCTATGGTTACCTACAGTTAAATCTAAATGTTGTCAAATAAACGGATTTTAGTGATTTTTTAAAAATATAAAAATTATACATCATACTATCTTATTAGTTTTAGGAAACTATAAAATTACCCAAATTGCTGGATCTCTTTAACCGAAGCACACACATTTAGACTGTTCTATGATCTCCTATAATATAATAATAATAAGAGGAGGTGGATCCCGGGTGTCGGACTGTGAAGATGAAATCATGTTATCATCTGGTTGCTGCTGTTTACATTCACCCCATATAAATAACTATATTGTTTTATTTTATTTGTTACCATATTTTAACATAGGACTATTATTTATTACTTATTTAAATCTCTCTTTACTGATGCTTGATGTTTGTTTGAAACTGCCAAAGGTTCAGTAGTTTTTACTTGTCTTCCTGCAGTGAACATCACAACAGATTCACAATTGAAATGTGAAAACTGATGCACCACACAAGAGGGCGCCTTCATCCTGCTAACCAGGGAAGTAGTGGAGGTTAAAGCTCCTCAGGAGCAACATAAATCTGCACCAACCAGAGATGATTGACTCCTGACTCAAACTGAGACTGAACATCTTGCTTTCAGACGTCCTTCTGATGAACTGAATACAGCAGTCCATTTGGATATAAACAGTCCCTTAAGAACCCTATGAAATTCAAAATATACAGTAAACTATATACAAATATCTAGATTTTAAAGCAGATAGTGCAGAGAATCTTGCTTCCTCTTGTGAGGTATCTTGTCGATTAAAGCAAACCAGGTAGTCTTCCGTGTGTGAGATCTGCACTGTTTTCTGGGGTTTATCTTTTGACATCGCCTACTACGGGGCAGCAGCCGTGCAGTCACAAATCTAGATCAATGAAACACCTATTAGTTTATTTAAGTTTCGGAGAACTTAATATGACCACCACTGTTTTCTGGGGTTTTTTCTTTTGACATCACCCACCGCAAGGGCTGCAGTACTGCAACAACAAGTCTGGATTGAAACACCTGAAACCTATTAAGTTTGAAAGATTATGATAGTATGATTTTTGTATTACCAAAATTATTGTGTTTTCTTATATTGATCTCTGATGTATTTTATAGGTAGAAGTTTATATGTTGGTTTATCATTTATTAAACTAGACCTGATGTGTGTGTTTTTTGGAGAGGTGCAGAAACAGGGGTTCCCCTTCGAGGGAACTTGAACTGCGTCGGTTACGACACTATGGGAACGCCTCTAGGCGAAGCAGGTCTGAACGTGAATGAAATCACTCCAATCCTATTGGCTTGTTGCTAGAACGGTAAGGTGTGACGGAATAACCGGAGGAGTATAAAGCACACCTGTACACACTCATCATTAGCTTTTTTCTATTCAGCAGGCGCTCTGTATGTTGTTGAAGAAAGCTCCAGTCCTACAAGCAGCGAAATGTCTTACCCGAGGAAGAAGTCTACCAGCATGTCCGGCAATCAGAGGTACAGAAAGTGTGTTTTTCCTTGCCCTCGGTACATCACGGATGGAGATTCACATGAGATGTGTGTCTCATGTTTGGGGATGGAGCACGCCCGGGCAGCTCTCGAGGGGGCTGCCTGCGGCCATTGCGAAACCCTCACCGTGCGGGTACTGAGGTCCCGCATGGCTCTCTTTTCGGAGGACGGCCGGATGTGTTCTCCCCGTGGGGCGGGCCCGGCGGCCGCTGAGGCGGCCCGGCGGCTTCACTCATGGGGTTCACAGCGTGATCTGTCGGAGGATTTCGGGACGGCTGAGGCTTTTTCCCGACCTTCGCCCGCTGGCTCCGACGCTTCCTTCCCTCGTTCGGGAGCCCGTTTCTCGGCTTCTCCCGCTCGCGGGTTGGATCCGGAGACGCTGCAGCAATCCGACTCCGAGGAGGTGGACGTGCTCAGCGCAATGGACGATGACTTCCGGGTGTCGGGGCAACGTCATCAGGCTGCGCCCGACTATGACGAGCTGCTGGAGGTGGTGACTAGAGCCGTGGCTAAGCTCGACATCGACTGGCCACAGGAGGAGCAGACACCACAGGCCAGTGGGAAGCTTGATGAAAGGTTTCTTAAGCACCACGCACCACCTCCACGCCGATCTCTGCCTTTTTTTCCTGATTTACATGATGAACTGAGTAAATCATGGGGCAGACCCTTCTCTACACGGCTTTCCACACCCCGATCACTTAATTACAGCAATGTGATGGGGGTTAGGGACCGTGGTTATGGGAGGATGCCTCGGGTGGAGGATGCGCTTGCGAGCTATCTCTCCCCTCGACTTGCGTCCTCCCTGGAGAAGCCGGCGTTACCCTCCAAGCCATGTCGCACCACATCCACGCTCGTGGGGAAGGCGTACATGGCAGCGGGCCAGGCAGGTGCGAGCTTGCACACCATGGCGGTGCTTCAAGCCTACCAAGCCGACCTGCTTCAGGAGATGGTTAAGGGGGGGGGGGGAGTTTTTTCTCCCCTCCCGCACCCCCCCCACCCCCCCCGGAGGCCGACCGAGGTCCCCTCCGCCGTGGCAACAGGTGATGTTATCCCGCCGTTTACACGTTCAGGACGCACCTGCCACCAACGAGTCCGCACCGTACTGCCTGCCCCGAGGGTCTGCAGGCGGACGGCATCCCGACTCACTCACCGTGGATCTTCGGCGGCTCCCCCCTGCCGTTCTGGGGCTTCAGGGGTCCACCAGAAGATCACACGAGACACCGACCACCAGCCCCGAGGGGCTGGTTCCGTTGGCAGACTTTGCAGAGGCTTGGCCGAGCCTGACGAACATTTCTCCATGGGTCCTGCGCACTGCCATAGATGGGTATCGACTACAGTTCAGAACCCGCCCTCCAAAATTCAACGGGGTGGTTTGGACTGTGGTCCTACGCGCCCGGTGTTGGGACAGGAAGTTCAGACTCTGCTGAGGAAAGGGGCCATGGAACGTGTCTCCCCCCCAGACAGAGACGCCGGTTCTACAGCCGGTACTTCATAGTCCCCAAGAAGGACGGAGGGCTGCGCCCTATTTTGGATCTGCGGGTTCTAAACCGGTCTCTGAGGAGATTCAGGTTCAAGATGCTCACCATCCCCGCCATCGTGTCGCACATCCAATCCGAGGATTGGTTCGTCACGATAGATCTACAGGACGCCTATTTCCACGTCTCCATCCGTCCTTCTCACAGGAAGTTCCTGAGGTTCGCCTTCGGCGGTGTGGCTTACCAGTATCGGGTTCTTCCATTCGGCCTGGCACTTTCCCCTCGCACATTCACCAAGTGTATGGATGCAGCACTGGCCCCGCTGAGGCTCCGGGGCATCCGGATTCTCAACTACATCGACGACTGGCTCATCCTGGCCCAGTCTCGAGAGTTGGCGGTTCGGCATCGAGATGTCGTTCTGGCTCATCTGCGGCGTTTAGGGCTGAGGCTCAACGCAAAGAAGAGCGTGCTGGCGCCCACCCAACGGACTACGTTCCTAGGGGTTGTATGGGATTCGACAACGTTGCGGGCACAATTGTCTCCGGCACGTGTCGACACCATATTGGCCGCCGTGAGAGGGGTGAAGTTAGGCCACGCCGTCACTATGAAACACTTTCAACGAGTGTTGGGTCTCCTGGCAGCTGCGTCTAGCGTAATACCATCTGGACTACTGCACATGAGACCCCTGCAGTGGTGGCTAAGGAACAAGGGTTTTTCCCCGAGGGGAAATCCTCTCCATCTGATTTGGGTTACGCGCAAGTGTCTTCGTTCCCTATCAGTTTGGAAGGAAACTTGGTTCCTGTCCCAGGGGCCCGTGCTGGGAGGGTGTTGTCGCCGGCTGGTTATTTCGACAGACGCCTCTCTCACGGGCTGGGGCGCGGTCATGGACGGCCGCTTTGCAAGGGGATCCTGGCAGGTGCATCTATCCGAGTGGCATATCAACTGTCTCGAGATGTTGGCAGTGTTCCAGGCTCTAAGGAGTTTCCTGCCCGATCTCCAAGGCCACCACGTCCTGGTTCGTTCCGACAACACAGCGGTGGTGGCCTATCTGAATCACCAGGGCGGTCTGCGCTCGCGCCCTCTGGACAGACTGGCGCGTCAGATCCTCCTGTGGTCCCAGCAGAGGTTACTGTCGCTCAGGGCGATGTATCTCCCGGGGACGCAGAATCAGGGAGCAGACCTGCTGTCGAGGCAGGGGCTGAGGCCCGGGGAATGGAGACTTCACCCCGAAGTGGTGGAGCTCTTGTGCGAAGAGTTCGGCCCCATAGACGTGGATCTGTTTGCGTCTCAAGAGACTACGCACTGCCCGCTATGGTTTTCTCTCGTTCCTCCAGCCCCGTTGGGTCTGGACGCCATGGTACATTCGTGGCCGAGGCTACGTCTGTACGCTTTTCCCCCAGTTGCTCTGCTCCCGGGGGTTCTGGAGCGGGTCCGCCAGGACAATGTCGGCCTACTGCTCGTAGCCCCGTTCTGGCCAACCCGGGTGTGGTTCTCGGACATCATGTCGCTCCTGGACGGCCCGCCGTGGCGGGTCCCTCTGAGGAGAGACCTGCTGTCCCAGGCGCAGGGCCGGGTTCTTCACCCTTGCCCCGCCATATGGCGACTGTGGGTCTGGCCCCTGAGGGGGCACAGTACCTAGAGGCGGGTCTGACAGCCGGAGCGGTCGAGACCCTCCTGAGTTCCAGGGCCCCGTCCACACGGAGGATGCATGGCCTGAAGTGGAGTGTTTTCTCCACTTGGTGTAGGGAGCGGTCGGTGGACCCTGTTACCTGCCCGGTGGTTCAGGTACTTGAGTTCCTCCAGGACCGGTTCTCTGCTGGTCTTTCCCCTTCCACCCTCAAGGTGTACGTGGCAGCTATTTCGTCTTTCCACACCCCTCTGAGGGAGGGGTCCTTGGGGAAACTTCCCTTGGTTGTACGTTTCCTCCGTGGTGCCCGGAGGATGAGACCTGCGACTCGGTCCAAGGTTCCCTCTTGGGATCTGGCGGTGGTTCTTGGGGCGTTGGCTGAGGCCCCCTTCGAATCCCTAGAGTCAGCTGAGGCTAAGCACTTGACCCTCAAGATGGCCTTTCTCCTTGCTATCACCTCTCTGAGGAGGGTGGGGGATCTCCAAGCGCTTTCGGTTTCCCCGCAAAGCCTGGAGTTTGCCCCGGGGAATATTAGGGCTATCCTGCACCCTCGTCCAGGATACATCCCTAAAGTGCCTTCTTGTGCGGCAGGGTCCACGGTGCTGCAGGCATTTCATCCTCCACCTCATGTGACGGCGGAGGACGGGAGGCTTCATCTGCTCTGCCCGGTCAGAGCACTGAGTATTTACACTCTGAGGTCCTCCCGTTGGAGGAAGGCTGACCAGCTGCTAGTGTGTTTTGGGTCCCCCAGGGCTGGGCTCCCTGCATCCAAACATACGATTAGCAACTGGATTGTTCAGACTATTTCCCTGGCCTATCAGGTGCGCGGTTTGCCTTCACCTGTGGCTGTGAGGGCTCATTCTACCAGAGGCATGGCGGCCTCTCGAGCCCTCCTTTCCGGGGCCTCTTTGCAGGATGTTTGTTTAGCGGCTGGCTGGGCCACTCCGCACACATTCATTCGGTTTTACAGTCTTGACCTTCCTTCGGCACCTGGCACTCGTGCGCTCTCCACTCGTGCCACTTTATTGCACACAGGGGCAGGCGGGGTTTTCGGCACGGTTTAGTGGGTATCTCGTTCCCATAGTGTCGTAACCGACGCAGTTCGAGTTCCCTCGAAGGGGAACGTCTCGGGTTACGTATGTAACCCTGGTTCCCCGAGAAGGGGAACGAGAGACTGCGTCGGCCCGCCGCACCTCTCTCCCCGCCTGAAGCGCCTGCTTCATAGTTTAAGCTAATGATGAGTGTGTACAGGTGTGCTTTATACTCCTCCGGTTATTCCACACCTTACCGTTCTAGCAACAAGCCAATAGGATTGGAGTGATTTCATTCACGTTCAGACCTGCTTCGCCTAGAGGCGTTCCCATAGTGTCGTAACCGACGCAGTCTCTCGTTCCCCTTCTCGGGGAACCAGGGTTATACGTAACCCGAGACGGTCTCTGCATGATCAAATAAGGACCTGCTGCTGTTTGTTTTGATTTAGATTTATTGCCTTTCTCCACCTCTCACTCGCTGTAACTAACATGACCCACATAATATACAACCCAGAGGAAGAGCCATCCACTGACACTAGTTACAGTAAAGTTACTTACTGCGGTCTAACTTTTAGAAAGTGTGACACAATCTCATTAGACCCTGTCACACTTTTTCAGGAGGATTGTGCCAATATGCGTCTGGCTGCGCTGAATGAAGTAACGTTACGGAGTGTTGATCTGCCTCTGAGACGGGAACGTTGAAGTAACAGAGCCGGAACATGTCTGGAGAAAAGCCACAGCCTGCGTGCTGGTGTTCTTATTGCAGGATTTCTGCATGAAAGCGGTTGTGTTTCGGATTATGCTCGCTCATGAGTTCAAGCGAGCACGCGTACGAGCACACGCCTGGTTGCAATCTTAAAACCGCACCGCTATGGCCGCTGAAAACTCCATAGCGCCCCTTTAAATTGCTCATAGTACCTTACTACCCCACCAGAGCACTGCGCTCCCAGAATGCAGGGTCACTTGTGGTTCCTAGAGTCTCCAAAAGTAGACTAGGAGCCAGAGCGTTCAGCTATCAAGCTCCTCTCCTGTGGAACCAGGTTCCAGTTTGGGTTCAGGAAGCAGACACCATCTCCACATTTAAGAGTAGGCTTAAGACTTTCCTCTTTGATAAAGCTTATAGTTAGGGCTGGCTCAGGTGAGTCCTGAACCATCCCTTAGTTATGCTGCTATACTGCCGGGGGATTTCCCATGATGCACTGAGTGTTAGGAGTGTGGTTTTGTGTCCTTGTCCTTGTCCTTCCTGTTTAGGTCCGTTTTTGGTTCTGTGTTTCTCTGTGTAGCCTTGTTATTTCATTCAGTCTCGTGTTCTAGTTTACTTAGTATCTGTTTTGTCTCTTATCTTAGTTCCCTGTTCTGTGACTTAGTTAATGTCTTTATGTTTAATCCTAGCTTCAGTCTGTTTTCCATGTTTGTAGTTTATTTGTGATCTGTCTGATTGTGTCTGAATTTTGTAGGTTTGTATTCTGATAACTGTTGTTGTGATTTGGCACTATATAAATAAAATTGAATTGTGGTTGTCACACCACCCTGGGCTGAGTTCAGCCCCTACAAAACGTACTGAGAGGAAGCTTCTTTGATCGGCGCCATTGAGCCAATCAGATTTCAGCAATAATGAGGATCGGTCCACGTTGGACGGGCCGCTCATATCCCCCCTCAATATTGAAAGAATTTTTGGCTCATTCTGACAGACAGCGTTTGCTGCAGCTGAGCAGCTGGCCGGCGTGGTCACGGATCATTTAAAGTTGAACATAAGAAACTGAAAAATTCCTGATGGCCAATCCGCCCCAACAAGAAGGGACTCTACTATATTATCATACAACTGTAATAGTGTTAATCTGTGATCTACAAGGTGGCCTTAATCTGATGGCCTGAGATTGATTGCTTTTGTCTCCACCCACAGAGCTGGCTGATAAAATCCTGGGTTTTCCTCATCACACTAGTTGTCATTGAAGAAACACCCTTCATCACTCTCCTGATTATTTCTTCAGGTTTTTCAGGTAAGTTGTGGATCTTAAACTGAGTTACTGTGGCTGTAATAACTTGCTAACATGCCAAGAGTGTAAAAACAGTGTTAATGTAACATTTAGAGGAAAGTTAGAGTAAAAGTACTAGTACCAAACTGTAAAAATACTCCACTACTTTATATACTGCTGGGTAGTTTATTCTACAGCAAAACCGTGCAACATGTTCTAAGTGTAATGTCCATTGATATCTTATCTAATATGAAATATAAAATAATAAGAATGAACAGACTTCATGATTTTAACTTCTGTGCAACTTTTGATTCTGCATGTACAGCCATTACACGTCACACCGAGTTACAGTTCTGCCCGCGTCATCAGGACTGTGCTCTAACTCTTAAAGTGACAGTTCCCTCTGAAACACTTCTACTCATTTTCAAGTTATTTTCATCAGCTCAGAAAAAACATTTTCCAGCTGACTAGTAACTAAAACTGTCAGACAAATGTAGTGGAGTAAAAGTACAGTAGATTTGCCTCTGAGATGTAGTGGAGTAGAAGTAAAGTTGCATAAAATGGAAATATTCAAGTAAAGTACCTTGAATTTGTACTAAATTGTACAGTATTTGTACAAATGTACTTAGTTACTTTCCATTTCCTCTCCTCTCTGTCCATAACTTATATTTCCTTGTTCCCTCCCCTTCAGATCTACAGTTTAGACAGGTGTAACCAACCTGTGGTGAAGTGCAGGAGCTGACAGACCCCATTCACTGCAGAAACACAAGCTGTTTAGATCAGAGCTCAAACCAGTTTGAGTTCCGAGAAAGTGAAACGAAAGTCGTTGCCACTGAGAGGTGAGATGGCTCAGAAAGGAGTCCAGCTGGACCAGGACGCCTTCTCTTGTTCCATCTGTCTGGATCTCCTGAAGGATCCGGTGACTACTCCCTGTGGACACAGCTACTGCATGAACTGTATTAAAACCCACTGGGATGAAGAGGAGGAGAAGAAAATCCACAGCTGCCCTCAGTGTAGGCAGACCTTCACACCGAGGCCTGTCCTGCTGAAAAACACCATGTTAGCAGTTTTAGTGGAGGAACTGAAGAAGACTGGACTCCAAGCTGCTCCTGCTGATCACTGCTATGCTGGACCTGAAGATGTGGTCTGTGATTTCTGCACTGGGAGAAAACTGAAAGCCCTCAAGTCCTGTCTGGTCTGTCTGGTCTCTTACTGTGAGAAACACCTCCAGCCTCACTTTGAATCTCCTGCCTTTGAGAAACACAAGCTGGTGGAGCCCTCCAAGAAGCTCCAGGAGAACATCTGCTCTCGTCATGATGAGGTGATGAAGATGTTCTGCCGTACTGATCAGCAGAGTATCTGTTATCTCTGCTCTGTGGAGGAACATAAAGGCCACGACACAGTCTCAGCTGCAGCAGAAAGGACCGAGAGGCAGAGAGAACTCGAGGTGAGTCGACAAAACATCCAGCAGAGAATCCAGGACAGAGAGAAAGATGTGAAGGTGCTTCAGCAGGAGGCGGAGGCTATCAATCGCTCTGCTGATGAAGCAGTGGAGGACAGTGAGAAGATCTTCACCGAGCTGATCCGTCTCATGGAGAAAAGACGCTCTGATGTGAAGCAGCAGGTCAGATCCCAGCAGCAAACTGAAGTGAGTCGAGTCAAAGAGCTTCAGGAGAAGCTGGAGCAGGAGATCACTGAGCTGAAGAGGAAAGACGCTGAGCTGAAGCAGCTCTCACACACAGAGGATCACAACCAGTTTCTACACAACTACCCCTCAGTGTCAGCACTCAGTGAATCTACAGACTCATCCAGCATCAAGATCCGTCCTCTGCGCTACTTTGTGGATGTGACAGCGGCTGTGTCAGAAGTCAGAGACAAACTACAGGACGCTCTGAGTGAGAAATGGAAAAACATCTCACTGACAAGGAGAAAAGTGGATGTTTTACTGCCACAACCAGAGCCCAAGACCAGAGCTGAGTTCTTAAAATATTCACGTGAAATCACACTGGATCCAAACACAGCAAACACATATCTGTTATTATCTGAGGGGAACAGAAGAGCAACATATTTGAGTCAACAACAGTCTTATTCTCGTCACCCAGACAGATTTACTGGATGGTTGCAGGTCCTGAGTAGAGAGAGTCTGACTGGACGTTGTTACTGGGAGGTGAAGTGGAGAGGGGGGCGAGTTGATGTAGCAGTCGCATACAAGAATATGAGCAGAGCAGGGATTTCGGATGAATGTGAATTTCGACACAATGACAAATCTTGGGCGTTAACATTTGACCAAAACAGCTTTAAATTTTGGTACAACAAGGTCCAAACTCCTGTCTCAGGTCCTCGGTCCTCCAGAGTAGGAGTGTACCTGGATCACAGAGCAGGTATTCTGTCCTTCTACAGCGTCTCTGAAACCATGACTCTCCTCCACAGAGTCCAGACAACATTCACTCAGCCTCTCTATGCTGGACTTGGTCTTTATCACCCTCATGGAAGTGCTGCTGAGTTCTGTAAACTGAAATAGTCAGAAGTCATCTAAGGAACAGAGGGTTAAATTCTGTTAAGCATTAAACTTGTTTTGTCTTCATGTTTGTTACTGAGAGCTGGTTGTGAGATCACCTGTCAATCAAACATTATGGGCGGTACTTTGACATCTTCTCATTAGTTGTTGTGTAAATGTTTGAGTTTCTTTCAGTGGAGCTCCTTCCTGTGTCTGTTTCACTGCTCATGATGACTGTTGTTTACCTGAACCGACATTTCTCACTGTAATTATCTTCGTCAATAAGGAGGTCATTCTTTATTGTCTTTGACATAGCTGAGATTCTGTTCAGTTAAACAGACAATCTGAATGAACTGGAAAATACAGAAAAGAATATGTGGCCATCTTACTCCAGCAACTTTTAGTGTAATGTAATCATACTAAACACAGCAAATTGTGGACACATCTAAAGAAAAACAGAAGTGGACAGAGCAGCACTAAAGGACATTTAAAGTGATTTGATTTAGAATCACGTCACTGGCAAAAATCTGAATAATATAATGTTTGTAATCTTTACAGCAGTGACTAAAGTGTATGTATTTCATGTGCTGTATTTGAACTGTTGTAATCAATAAAAAGTTTGATTAAAGTGAATTACAGGACAACTCATTTCAAAGTGAGGAGCTGTTTCCAACCCCTCTGATTCTGAGAAGAGTTGACCTCCTAAAAACTGAAGTGACCAGTGTTTTAAATGAGGAATGAGCTTTATTGTAAACAAGTTTAACAGCTGTCACAGCCCGGCTCATGGACTGAACAAAAACAGGAGACACACGGGTAAACTAAATAACAAAGTGATTTATTAATAAGAAAATAAGCAAAACCAATGAGTGGGAAGAGTCTGTAAAGTCAGTAGTGTAGGGAGTGGATGAGTGAAAATGTGCTGCATGGATGTTGAGCTGTAAAAGCAAAGACATGAAACCAAACAAACAACAGAAGCTGTAAAATAAAGGAGGTCCCCCTCAGACTAACTGCTGCTCTGGCTTATATACACATGGGGCACACCGGGCCCAGGTGTGTCCCACTGATTACCCTGCCAATCAGGTCTGCAGCCCTGGAGACCAAGAGCACACCAACAGCAGTATGAACCCTGCAGAGGGGCTGTCACACAGCTTTGTGCATATAAACATTAAAGCAAAGTGAGACAACATGTTTGTCTGTCTAACTCCACTGCTTACACTGAATGGGGCAGAGACAGAGTTACCCCATTTCACATGCGTTGACTGATGAGCATACCAAAAAGTTAGAATTCTCACTAGAAATTAAAGGTTTTAGAAGTATCAATAAAACACAAAAAATGGTGGAATTATGCCTGTTATACAAATCTAAAATCTCCTTCAAAGCAAAAATACACATCTGCGCCGTGTTGGCAAAGATGTTTTACAGTTATTAATTCTTTTGATTTCTTTCCAGAATTCATTAGGACAATAGTCTTGTAGTTTCCTTGCAAGTGAGTCAGACCTCCTTGTGTTATTAGTTCTGTTAATACAACATGGAGCACATTCAGCAGGAGGCTTTCTTTCTTTTCGACACATTTATCTGCTCTGTTGTGTTAGTTTATTTGAAGATTTTCAGTCAGGATTTAGAGTTCATCATAGCACAGAGACAGCACTGGTGAAAAATACTAATGACCTCCTAATTGCATCAGACAAAGGACCTTTACTGGTTTTATTAGACCTTAGTGCTGCATTTGATACCATTGACCATCAGATCCTATTGCAGAGACTGGAACATTTCATTGGCATTAAAGGAACCGCACAAAGCTGGTTTAAGTCCTATTTATCAGATCGATTTCAGTTTGTACATGTTAACGATGAGTCCTCCATGCATGCCAAAGTTAGTCATGGAGTTCCTCAAGGATCTGTCCTCGGACCAATCCTCTTCACTTTATATATGCTTCCTTTAGGCAATATTATCAGGAAATATTCCATAAACTTTCATTGTTATGCAGATGATACTCAATTATATCTATCGATCAAGCCAGATGAAACTTATCAGTTAGCTAAACTTCAAATGTGCCTTCAGGATGTTAAAATCTGGATGACCTTTAATTTTCTAATGTTAAACTCACACAGTAAAATTTATTATTTATATATTTAATTACTGGCTAATAATTGCAGTAAATTCACAGTAGCATACCGTGATTATTTTTACAGTAGTATACAGTGATTATTTTACAGTAATGTATTGTGATTCTACAGTAACCAGACACAACTGTACTGTACTATAAAATTAACATCCTACTGTAACATCACAATATGACACTGTAATAATCATTATAGTTTAGTATATAATTCACAACCATTTACAGTAAATTAATGTACTGTATTTTCACAGTAACCAACCCACAACATTACTGTAAAGTACAGTATGGAGCAGCACACTAATCACAGTAATTACTTGTAATTTAGCATTTTTACTGTATTATTACCGCAACTCTGTAGCCAGTAAATTCCTGTAAATTTACAGTATGTGTACTACATTAAATTACTGTAATTTCACATACAAACTCTATTTTTACAGCAACTCATAGGCCCATATTTTTCTGTAGATACAAAGAATACGTTCAAAAATGTTAAAATGTATAACTTTTATTGCAAATTTAATATACATTGCATACATCTGAAGACAATATATCTGAAAAAAATATACAATGTAAAATACATAAAATCATATCACCAATATAGAACATTTCTATCAAAACATGAAAATAGGGTTGAATGATATGCCATAAGTTTTTAATATAATGATATATTTAGCATTTTTAACATAACAACATCATGTTATATTTGATTTGGTTGTAAAAAAATCTTTAAAAAAGTAGAAGACTTTTTAAGACCTTTTTAATACCAACTAGGCTGAAATTTAATACCAACTTCACTGCTGTTTAATGGAAAATCTGTATGAATTTTAAACCCGAGAAAATTATTTATGAAGTTACATGAATTTAATAAAACATTTTATTATAATATATTCATATTTAACACACTATAGCTTGGGGTGTGTTTGTACTTTGATAAGATATGTGAACAAGAACAAGACAAGAAGACAGTTTATAAAATAATTTTAATATTCAATATTTAACACTTAATTTCCTGCATTCTGGAGACATTTTCTGCACCAATTTATGGTAGAATTGTCTTATTTAAATAAAGTGATTCAGATTTTTTTTAGCTTAAACTTTTTTTGAACAGTGTAAATGACACCTATGAAATTAATACAATATTTGTGCACGAAGAACTCTTAAGGGGTGAAATCCAAAATACTAACAAATTGTGTGGTTTGTTGCAATTAGTTACACCTTCGCTAGATAAGGTAAAGTAATATATGCCAATTGTTTCAGTGATTATTCATCCTGTTTTGTTTTTCTAAAGCATCTAAAGGCTGCTTGAAATATAGTATTATATAGTATTGACTTGCCACAGTGTGACTGGCTCTCACGCCCATCAGCTTGCTGTGCTAACCTCAGCGCCACTGCCCTCAGACTCATCCGCCAATTTGTTTGTATTTCTGGCTTTCTGAATTTAAGACTCTTGCACATTCTGAGTCGTCGAGCTAACGTTAGTAGCACGTCTGAGACATTTTCTTTTCTAACAACTGCCAGAGTTCTTGCACCGTGAACACAGTCCAGATCGTAAAGCTTAACACTGACGTAAACAGTAACGTTACCTGTACTGCTGTATCAGTCACACCAAACAAGTATATTATGAAGTCTCACACACACAAAGTATTAACTTATCACGTTACGGCATTAATTGAATACTACGAAAGGACAAGAAAAAATTTAAGACCATGGTAAATGAAATTTAATACTTTGGTAATGAAATTTAATACTTTGGTAATGAAATTTAACTTTTAAGGCCTTATTTTTGGAATATGAAATTTAAGACTTTAAATACTTTTAAGACCCCGTTGTTGCTTGTGTATAATTTATATCAGTGTACTGCAGACCCCTACATGAAAATGTATAATTTTAACGTAAACACAACAAAACACTTGAATATAGAATAGAATATTTCTAGTGTGCCTTAAGGGCTGTCATGTGAGTGTGTGTGTGTGTGACTGTATTAATAAAAGTGTGAAGTGTGTCAGAGTGTATTGTGGTCAGGGCCTGGTTTCCTGTTATTCAGCACAAGCCTCTAACTGTCTTAACTGCTGAGTTACCCAAGATAAGCATGTCACACAATATTGAGTATCATTGAGCAATCATAAGTAATAAGTAAGCATATAAGAGAATCATATCATGCAATATCACTGCAGGGTTGTGTTGTATATCCACAATTTCCCCCTTTTGATCTCTTCTAAGAGATCACTCCTCAAATTGGAGTTGATCCACCTGGTGCTCATCATCAGCTGCGTTTGCCAACAGGGGCATTATATGCATGTGCTGACCATCTCTCTTCTCCGCAGCGGTGGTGATCACCCTTTGGACAAAGCTACGAATACAAGGAATACAACAACAACCACATGAAAGTAAAATAGCCATAAAAGTAGCAAATGATAACAATTCACACTGCTAACCCACCCAACAGCCTAGGATTTCCCCGCATCCCCATTTTAACACTCCTCTCTTTGGGTTAGGGTTAGGTGAGATGTTCTCTCCACCACCTGGAATGGTCCTGTCCACCTTGGCTCCGACCACTTCCGTTTTATCACCTTCAGCAGCACCCAGTCAGCTTGTGGCACTGTGTACTGCTTCCCGTGTGTGCTTCTCTCACCCCCCTGGTTGGAGAAACCTGAAACGAGAGCTTGCAGTTCATTAAAATATGCTCTGTGGGACACCTTATTTTCAAACCCTTCTTGCATTTTCAGTCCAGCTCCTGGGCCTGGAAAGTGTCTTCCTGTCAATAACTCATATGGAGTAAACCCTGTTCTCTGGTTCACGGAGCTCCTGACTGACATCAGAGCTAGTGGTAATGCATCCACCCAGTTTAATTTTGTCTGTGCACAGATTTTAGCCAATTTACCTTTAATGTTCTGGTTCATTCTCTCAACCTTTCCCTGTGACTATGGGTGATACACTGTACCAAATGCAGGCTTCAACCCCAACATTGTCTCCACCTGCTGGAGATGTGTGTTCTTAAAGTGTGTACCATTGTCAGATCTGATTTTTTCCGGAAACCCATGTCTTGGAATGTAGCGATTAATCAAACATTTAATCACCGATTTGATGTCTTCCTTTTTTGTCGGCCATGCCTCTGGCCACCCTGTGACGGTGTCAATGCACATCAATACGTACCTGACCCTTTGTCCACCATGTCTGTGTAATTGACGGAAATTTCATACCCTGGCCTAGTGATCATGGGAAATGCACCCATTTCCAGTTTCACTGTTAGCCTCGGGTTATACACCATAGATACCTGACACCCTCGCACGAACTCCTTTGTCATGTCTGTCAGATATGGATGCCACCAATGGCACAAATGCCTGCTCATCTGGACAGGACCAAAATGTCCTACTCCGTGAGCCTCTTCCAGTACCTTCTGTCTGATGGTAGGGGGAAGAACTAATCTCCCATCTGGTCCTCTCCAGAGACCACCAGTTTCTGTCGCTCCTCTTTGTTTCCACACTGTTTTCTCTGTGGAGAGGCCTTTTGT